ACAATGGTGGAACCAGAAAAATGTAGATATTTCCATTACAAATGGGAGCAACTGGGGGGAAAGAAGGAATAACAGGCACCAAGCAAGTTAGAAATCCAGGAGAACAGTTTACATTAACTCTGAAGGCTTGAAAATAATCCTCTGCTCTCTGAGACCATCTAGGTAATGGTCCTGCCCTCCAGATTCTGGGTGTTGGCCAGGCACTCTGGATTCTAGGTAGAGGTCCCTCAACCCTGGACTTTAGATCGGCCTTCCAGGCCTACTGAAATGGTGACTCTGCTGCCTCGGTTTTGAGGGAAGGCCTTGTTCTCCTAGTCCTCATCACTTTGACCCAGGTGGGCCCTGTTCTTCTGTGCCCTCAGGCCTGGCAGCCCCACACTTGGGAACCTGAACCAAGTTGGTGCAGAAGCACCATGGGAAACTGGCCATACCCTTAGAAACCCAGAGGTCATGGTTCAACCTTTTGAGAACCCAGAGGTCATGACCCTATCTTTTAATATTGAGGCATCTCTGTTGCCCATGCTTCTTATCTCTTAAGGTCCTACTTCCTGGTCCCTTGATCTCTAGGTCAGCCACAAGTGTCACAAAGCTTTTCAGCTCTATGATAAATGCCCAGCACCCCCACTCCACCAGGAAGCTTTGGCCTGAAGGCCCTCAGCTCTGTAGCTCAGAGGGCCTAACCGTGCCAACCAGTATCCAGAGGCACCCCACTCCACCAGGAAGCCTCCTGCACAAAGGTGCTCAGCTCTGCTCCATGGGTCAGTTTTCATACTCTCTTGGGTTAATCTCCTGGTACTGCTGCTGCCGATTCTCTGTCGCTTCTTCTCACCATTTGTATCATATCTGCTGTTACAGCTCTGCTCGCTTCCTTCTGAGCCCTCATCAGTATTGCTTTTGACATCCAGAATTCCACCAACGGTCTCTTCTAGGTAATGTAGGCTTTTAATGTTAGGTAGCTTAGTACTCTTCCAGCCTCAGCTCATTATCCAATTCCAAAACCACTTCTGCATTTTAGGATCTGTTAGAGCAGCACCCCACTTTCCTGGTACCAAATTCTGTCTTAGTTATATAATGCTGCTATAACAGGACTATCACAACTAGATGGTTTTAACAACCAGAAATTTATTTTCTCACAGTTTAGAAGACTTAAAGTCCAGAATCAGCGTGCTGACTGTCTCTTTGTTGGCTCTGGGGCAAGCAAGTTCCTTGTCTCCTTTCAGCATCTGTAGCCCAGTAATCCTTGGAGATCTCCATATGTCTTGGCATCAATCTTCTCCTGGATCTAGGAGTTTCACAAGGCAGGGACCTCAGGTCCGAAGCATGCACTGCACTCCTGGCTCTTCTTGGTGGCATTAGGTCCCCCTGCATTCTGCTTACTTCACTTTCCTTTTATATCTCAAAAGAGATTGACTCAAATTATAATCTAATCCTGTAGATCACATCTGGTCTCATTAACATCATTGTTGTTGTTGTTAAGCGTCATTTGAATTGGTTCTGACTCTTAGTGACTAGGATAAGGTTTACGAAGCTTAAATCTTTGCAGGAGCAGAATGCTTCATCTTTCTCATGCAGAGCAGTTGGTGGGCTCAAACTGCCTACTTTGAGGTTTGCAATCCAGTGCTTATCCTATGGGGCCACCTCATAATGTTCCCATTAACATCATAGAAGGGAGAATGTGGGAATAATTACATCAGATCAGGGCTGGTCATATGAGATCGATGATGTATCCATCATATTGACTGTCATCATGAAGGTGATAAATGTGTTTTAACTGTGAAATCACTGAGAATCTTGGCCTAGTCAGGCTGACATAAAACCTTAGCTATCATATCATGTTTGTTGCATCACCAGTGATATCAAAGAGTTAGCATGAGTCCTCTTAGGGACAAGGGACTGCGTCCTATCATTGTCTCTGTCCTCCTTCTAGCACTTTGTCAAAGCGTGTCAATGAACTGGTCTGCAGCATATGTGAGTAGGGTCTGTATGCCAGGGGGCTTCAAAGCGTTCATGGAAAGACTTCAATGTGGTTTAATTCCATTTTTCCACAAACTTTTTGAAGTCCCCTTATATTATATATCACATAAATATGGACAACAGTTGTGGGTATAGAGGTGTCTGCATCATAGGATGTCCTGTAGGGTGTATTGTAGGGAGTGCTTTCACGTGGGTGATGACTGTAGCATAGAGAGAGTGTGAGATGAATGGATGTCTATACATCCTATTTGAGAGCATCTAGGTGAACCCACCTTGGGGTGACCTATCAGGTACCTATACTGTGAGCATGTCAGAATAACACGAAGGAGGTGATGGGGAGTCTATACTTTGGATATGCTGAGATATAGAATGTCTATATTATGTGAATGTATTTTTGGAGGGTTTCTACTATAGATGAAAATGTGTACTGCTGTAATGTCTCTGTGGAAAGGGGAAAAAGGGGTCCCTAGAAAGGAACCCATTGTGTGGGGGAATATGGCAGGTGCTGAGGGGCCAACAGTGTGGAAAAAGACAAGGTCCTGGAGGAGGTGAGACTGCTCCCCAATAAGCAACTGCCCTCTCAGGACACATTTGTTCTAGACATAGTGCCTGCACTTCCCAGCATTTGGGGACCCCCTCTGGAGGACTGGTCTTTCAGGGCCTGTGCATATCTTTCTCTGAAAGTGAATCTCCTGTTCGCAAACTTTGACGGTAACTCTGATGAATCAAATGGGTGTTCATTTTTGGGGTCTAAAACCAGGCTGGGAGTGGGAGTAATGGTGAAATATAGAAGCTGACTGGAGGGGCTCATAAAGTGGCTCAGGAGGCCATGGCACATGCCAGGACATACCACAGACTTGGCATCACACTCAGCAGGCAGGACTGAATTCTCAGAGTCCCATGAGGGCTAAGGCAGATTCTGATAGTATCCTGCATTTGCTAAGAGTACAGCAAGCAGAGCATTGTCGATGGTTACCTACCTGGTGGGTGGCCAGGCCAAGGTCATCCTAGCCAACTGCCTGAAAGGACTGCTCAAGTACTCAAGGGTTTATCTAAAAATAGCCTGATTACTTTGTCATCACACCTTATATACTGTGTTGTTGTTTTTACCAGTTATTGTATGGGGGATAAGAAGGTACTCATGTGTATCTATAAGGTGTGTCTGACAGGTACTGTCCCCCGGTGTACATAGGGGGTACAAGCTCTGAGTGATGACATTTTGCTATGTGTATAATGGATAGAATATGTGAGGGGGGATCTGCTATGTAGGAGGGGGATCTGCTGTGAGAAAAGGGATCTGCTTTATAGGGAGGGAAGCTGCTTTATGGGGAGGATCTGCTGGGAGAGGGAGATCTGCAGTGTGCAAGGAGGATGTACTATGTGCTGGGGGGATCTGTATGTGAAGGGAGATCTGCTTGCACAAGGAGGTATGCTATGAGTACAGAGGCTGCTTTGTGTGTCAGGGCCATGTAGTGGGTGGAAATGGGACCTGTTGTGGAGGGGAGGGATCTGCTGTGTGAAAGGGGTTCTGATGTAGGGAAGAAGATCTGCTATGGGGGAGGAGGATTACCACATGGGAGAGGTGTTGGCCATGGGAGGAGGGATCTAATGTAGGGGAGAAGAATCAACTCTCAGCTGGAGGGGATTGGCTGTGTGTGGTAGCTGTATTTGCAATGATTATATTGTTGGATAATTACATACAATATTAAATGGTATATTGATGAGCATATTCTGTTCCATACTGTTTCTATGCATATACTATGTGTGAGGGGCATAAACACTGTGGGTATAAATGCTGTGTGTGATTCTGTATGTGAAGTACATATCATATATACACATACTGTATATGTGAAAGGTATAATCTGAGTGTGCTGGATCTGCAAGTGTGGTGGGTATATTTTATGAGTAATAGTCTATAAAAGGCATATATACTCTATGATGAGTACGTATAATAGATACACTTTTTGATGAGATCTCTCTTGCACATGGCAGATTGCCTTTACCCAGGAGCCCTGGTATGGCAATGTAGGATAAGCACTGGACTGCTAATGAAAAAGTTGGTGGTTCAAACCCACCAGCCAAATATACAGGGTCACTATGAGCCTAAACAGACTTGATAACACTTAACAACAACAGTGTGTGGGGGATGAGTATACAATAGGGGAGGGATAAATGTACTATGTATGTGCAATAGGCATATGTTATTTTTTGTTAAGTGCCATAGAGTTGGTTCCAACTCATAGCAACCCTGTATGGGATTTCCAAGGAGTGGCAGGTGAGCTTGAACTGCTGACTTTGCAGTTTAAACTGACCTTACCGTCCAGCACATTAACCCACAGTGCCACACCAGGACTCCTGATATGTATATACGAGGGAGTTTTAAAAAAGGTCATGGGAAAATGGAATTAAGCAATAATGTAAGACAAATATACTTGGTGTGTGATAACTTTTACATGGGGTATGTCTGAGTACACACTGTCAGCAGAGTACAAATTGTGTGTATAATAAGTATACAGTGTGCTGGGTATATTTTATGAGTAATAGAGGATCAGTAAAAAAAAGAGGAAGCCCTTCAACGAGGTGGATTGACACAGTGGCTGCAATTATGGGCTCAAATACAGGAACAATTGTAAAGATGACACAGGGGTGGGTAGTGGTTTATAGTACTGTGCACAGAGTTCCTGTGAGTTAGAACCAACTCAACAGCGCTTAACAATGACAGCAAATAATATATATAATGGCTATACTGGTTATGATGAATGTATATCATATAAGCATGAGTATACACTTCGTTGGGCAAATTGGCACTGTGTACAGTGAAGTCGTCCTTGTGGGAAGGGTCTACTCGAAGGGTATCAGGTACACTGTATATATAAGCAGCTTGTGATGGAAATATGGGTATGTGTCTATATGAGAGCAGGCAGATAAAGTCACCCTCCAGGGAGGGGGCATGGTAGGGGATAGTGGAATCTTCATTTGTTTCTAGCACTCCCAGATCCTTAAGCCCACTGACCACACTGTTTCAGGTTCTTCCTCAAGTTCTTCCTCAAATGCAACCAGAACTGTCTAAAGAATGCAGGGAATCCCCGAGACATGCGCCGCTTCCAGGTGGGCCTGGGGAGCGGGCTCCTTCTGCAAACCTGCCCTTTCCATAGTAAATGGGAGGTGGAAGAGGGGAAAGTTATGGCCATGAGGGCAGATCCCTGCCCAACTCTGGGCCTCCAAGACCTGGTGCCTGCTGGGGGTTGGGCATCTCTTCTCAACTTATGCTGGCTGCCAAGGGAGGCTTCATTAGAGTCCCACTTAAGAAGATGCTAATTGTGACATTTTTACATGATTAACGACCCAGGTAATTTGCATAGTGTGAAGCCGAGAGCAGCTGCCCTTAGCACATCCCCAACCTGCATACCCCTCCTAAAGGGAGGGGGGAAGGAGGAAGCCCTAATCTCCTCCCCAGAACTGGGTGGGGGTTCCAGCTGGAGGGGCCCTAGGCTGCTCACCCTAGCTCTCCCCATCCAGACCCTCACTCCCACTTGCCTAAGACTGCATTTCTGCCTTGGAGTCCCATGGAGCTGGGTGTGCAAAAATAACAGCTCTTCTTTGCCCAAAGAGCCAGAGAATTCCACTCCCCCCACCCCCCAGGTCTTGATTATTGATCCAGGAGTCACTTCTTCTGGACAGCCTGGAGGGCTTGCCTGATCTAGGTAGTTCCCTTCCAGCCTATCAGGGTGGCCAGTCCTGAGGGACTGAAACCTTGTTCTCCCCTTCCCTCCTCCCACTGCATGAGTACCAGCATCCTGCCGCCAAGTTGCTGGTTCCCTGCCACAGTTCCACCCCAGGAGCCCCGCAGGGCCCCAGCCAGGCTGGCTTTGGCTCTCCCCGCAGGTGGTGGTGTCCACAACGGTGAGCGTGGACGGACATGTACTGGCAGTGTCCGACAACATGTTTGTGCACAACAACTCCAAGCATGGCCGCAGGGCACGCCGCCTGGACCCTTCCGAAGGTCAGGAACCCCCAACCCAGCTCTGCCGTCTCAGACCCGGCTAGCTCTCCTAGTCCCGACCTCAGTGCGGGTGGGGGGGGGGGATGAGAGGGCGTTTCCCTGACCTGGCTCTTCTCCTTTTCCCAGCTGCCACCCCCTGCATCAAGGCCATCAGCCCCGGGGAGGGCTGGACCACGGGTGGCGCCACCGTCATTGTCATCGGTGACAACTTTTTTGATGGGCTGCAGGTCGTGTTCGGGAATGTGCTAGTCTGGAGTGAGGTGGGCCACACCGCTAGTCTCCCAACGGGGCGGGTTGGGAGGTGGGCCCTCCTCTCTCCTGGATAGAACCCACAGACCGCCCTTTTCTCCTCGCAGCTCATCACGCCCCACGCCATACGTGTGCAGACACCCCCGCGGCACATCCCAGGGGTGGTGGAGGTGACACTCTCCTACAAGTCTAAGCAGTTTTGCAAAGGAGCCCCCGGCCGCTTTGTCTACACTGGTAAGGAAGCGGGTACGGTGGGGAGGTCAAGGAAGGCGTAGCCTGAAAGTCAACCAGGCCCACCTGCCCATAGAGAATAAAATTTGTGGCGTGGCCACGCCCACTGCGGCGGCGGTCCCACCCACCTCTAGCAGGAATCCCAGGACCATTTCTCTGTAAGGGACCTTCTCTTAACTGGCCTCTGGCTCCTCCGACCCCTGAAGCATTGGAATCATCCGTGTAGCATCCTCGGCCTGCGCTAACATTTTCTTTACTTCTGGCTTCTCACCAAGGCATCCCTCCACACCCCACAGCGCTGCTCTACCGGGATGTTTGTTTCAGAGCTGCTCCTAAGTGGGCTAGCTGCTCCACACATCTCTGAGCCTTAAGGTTTCCCCAAGCATATCGCATCCTCTCTCTTTCTCTCCCCCCCCCTCCCGCCCCAAACACACACACATCCTTTGCACAACTCAGAGCGAGCTATTAACACAAGACATGTGTGATAGACTCTCCCTGGAGGTGGCAGCAGAGAATCTATCCCCAACAGATATTCACAGTACCGAGCCCTTCACAGGCACTGGACACCCAGTGGACTGAGAGTTCCAGTCTAAGGTGGGGAAGCAGGACTGAACACTGTAGGAAGGTGGAGAGACTCAGTAGGTCCAGGGTGAGAAAAAACCACCAAGAGGGAGCATCGCCTAAACCTCCCTCTTGGGAAGGGGTAAATAGAAGTTAGCAAGGTATGAATCACAACCTCCAGAAGTCTGAGGCTAGAACTGCATGGTCCCCTGCTACCATTACATACTACTTTGACCCACGGTGAGAGAACAATATAAAACAAATTTCAAATTCATAAAAATGATAAGACTTACTGGCTTGCTAGAGACTGTGGAACCCTTCAACTGCCCCCTTCCCTCCCAGCACACACACACACTGTGGCTATTAGACACTCTTCTAACTTCTAACCGAATAAACTCCAGGAGATGACCTTACAGCCAAACAACAGGCAGATCTAAAGTAGATCTATTCATAGTGACCCTGTATAGGGTTTCTGAGGAGCAGCTGGTGGGTTTGAACTGCTGACCTTATGGTTTGAAGTCCAATGTTATCCACACCAGAAGTCCAATAAAACGAATGGAACCCTGGTGTGGCACTGCAGAATAAGCATTGGATGGTAAAGTTGGTTGGAGCCACAAGTTTGGCAGTTCAAACTCACCAGCTGCTCCTCAGAAATCCTATATAGGGTCACTGTGAGTCAGAACTGACTCTATGGAACTTAACAACAACAGTAAAGTGAATCATAATACCTGTGAAGAACATTCTTCTTGGCACATTCACCCCAGAACATTCAGTTATACAAGACCAAACGGGCAACATTTACCCAAGAGTAAAATAAGAAGGCAGGAAAAATGGTCAATGGAAATGGGGAGCCCAGGGTGGAAGTGAGAGGTTACAACTAAAGTCACAAAATAATCTATGTATAAATTGATGAATGGGAAACTAATTTACTTTGTAAATGTTCACTTGTTGTTAAGTGTTGTAGAGTTGGTTCTGACTCATAGTGGCCCTGTGTAGGGTTTCTGAAGAGTATCTGGTGTGTTTGAACCATCAGCCTTGTGCTTATCCTAATAGCACTACACCGAGACTCCAAACGTTCCTTTAGACCACAATGAAATGTTGACACACACACACACACACACAAAATTACAAGGTAAAGATGGAGAGGAAGGGTGATCCATGGAAAATGAAGGGTAAGTGCAAAATAATGGAAGTATGTTTATACTTTGGGGGAAACTAAAGAAAAGGCACTAAAGCTGGCATTGGAGAGGTTGAGTTATGAGCCTGCTAAGTTATTTGAACTTCAAGGTCCGAAGTTGAAGCTCACCAGCTGCTCCTTGGAAACCCTATTCCGGGTCGCTGTGGGTCGAATCGACTGGACAGCACTTAACAACAACACCAAGTTAAGTCTTAGGGGCCAGGCTGAGAGGGAGGAGGAGAAGGAGGTAGGCGGACCTGAGCCATTCCTTTCCCTGGGACACAGGGAAATCTCATGCTGCTAAGAGTCCAGCTAAGTCGAAATAAATGGAGACTTTATTTCTTTTTTCTTTTTCTCATTGTCATAGTAAATATTTTTAATACTCATGGTAAGACGAAATCCAAACAAACTCTCCCTCCAGTTCTGCGCCTAGTAGGAATGGAGAAGCTGATTATGTACACACGATTTCCTTTTTCCTAATCACAAATGGGCTCATATAGTAGTTACAAGCGTGTTGACAGCAAGCACCTGGCACAGTGCATATTTGATAAATGAATGCTCGAACTGAGTAACTGAGGAAGCTTCCCTGAACCTCGCTAACCGGAGACACTTTTCTCCAGGAAAGGAGATTTCTGGGGGAGAGGAGGTGTGCTGGGAGGTTCCGGGACTAGCTGCTGGCACGCGTTTTGCGTCGGTCCCTAGAGCTGGGAGGGGGTGTACAGCAAGCACCGCCCCTCTCCCCAGCTCTGAACGAGCCCACCATTGACTACGGATTTCAGAGACTACAGAAAGTTATTCCTAGACACCCTGGAGACCCCGAGAGACTGCCCAAGGTACTCTGAGGGGCGCAACGGGGTGGAGGTGGGAGTCCTGGGGCAGAGGGGGTGAAGAGAGACGTGCGGCCCTCTGCTGCCTTCAGAGGCTGCCCCTCCGTCCCGCGCTCTCCTCCCTGCCCCCAGGAAGTGCTGTTGAAGCGGGCTGCCGACTTGGCGGAGGCCCTGTACGGAGTGCCCAGCAGTAACCAGGTATGGCGTCCGGGTCCACCTCCTAGCCCGGCCCAGCCCGGGGCTCTGCCTGATCTAGGGCTGCCCCAGAACCGGCGCTTGCCGGGTCCTTGCCCTGCTCTTGTCTTCGCAGGAGCTCCTCCTGAAGCGCGCGGCCGACGTAGCGGAGGCTCTGTACAGCGCCCCCCGAGCGCCCGCGCCGCTCGGCCCACTAGCTCCGAGCCATCCGCACCCCGCTGTCGTGGGCATCAACGCCTTCAGCAGTCCGCTGGCTATCGCCGTCGGGGACGCCACGCCGGGGCCCGAGCCGGGTGCGTCCCGCCGCCCCTCCCCGCAGTCTCTGGGCGCCCCAACGATCCCTTCCCTGCCAGCCCCGCTCGGCTGACGGCAGTTCTCTCGCAGGCTATGCGCGCAGTTGCAGCAGCGCGTCACCCCATGGGTTCGCGCCCAGTCCCAGCTCGCAGCAGAGCGGCTACGGCGGCGGCCTCGGGGCTGGCCTCGGCGGCTACGGGGCGCCAAGTGTGGCCGGTCTCGGCGTGCCCGGGTCCCCTAGCTTCCTCAATGGCTCCACCGCCACCTCGCCCTTTGCCAGTGAGTGTCCCCCACCTGCGGTGATTTGGGGAAAGAACGGGGCTCCCCTGTGCCCCCCAACCCATCCTGAGGGGTGGTCTCTTGGCGCCTGCTCCATAGGGTTCGAATCTGACCAGACTCTAGGGCACAAGCCCGGCTCTCGAAGCGTGCGCCTTTGGGAGCCTACCCTCTACTCCATCCTTAGCCTTCACCCTCTGGGGCCCTGGGGCCAGAATAGTTTTCGTACCTTTAGCCTTTATTGCTGACCTCACTTATACAAGTCGCTTCTAGGCTTTCCCTCCTCCAGAAACTGACTTTATGGGAGGACATCAAGCAGGAAACTGTTGAGTGCCACCTTTCTTTAAGCCTGGGCTTCAGGAGGGCGCTAGCGCCCTCTGCCGGAAGTCTTTGGGAACTCAAAGTTTAAGAAAAGCTTGCGTCCTCCATTGCCTGGTAACTTAGTGGTTTTGAGTCGGGCTGCTAGCTTCAAGGTCAGCAGTTTGAAACTACCAGCAGTTCCACGAGAAAGATAAAGTTTTCTGCTCGTAAAGATTTTCGGAAACCCTATTCAGGGTTGCTATGAGTCGGAACCGACTCCATAACACACTACCACCACCATTGTCTATTCACCCCAGGATCCCAGCTCTGAAGAGCAGGGTAGGAGACACACGCTTGGGTTCTCTGTTGTATTGTAGAGCCAAACAAACTAATCCCTGTGGTCAGAGTTTGGGTATCCAAATTAGCAGCTGTGTGATCTTCAGCAAGTTACTGTACTTCTGAATTTCAGTTTCCCCTCTGTAATGGTGTGGTGCTGTAGGATAAGCACTGGACCAAAAGGTCGGTTTAAACCACAAGGTCAGCAGTTCAAGCTCACCAGTCTTTATTAGTTGGAACCAACTTGAAGGCACTTAACCACAACAACCTTGGGTTGTTCTCAGATTGTGAATGTGCCACTAACTACAAAGGATTTAGACAGAATTCAAGAATTAGTGTATGATTTTGTAGTCCCAACACTGACTGGGTGTTGAGGACCCTCCATCTGGGATAATTCAGAGCAGGACTTTATGGTTTCAGCAAGTCCTTCCTTCCTACACTAAATTCCAAACCAGTGTGTCTACAGCTCTTTGGTTGAACTATTTGGCAAATATTTACAAAGCACCTACTATGTGTAAAGCACTCTGCACAGGGGCGGGGGATGGGCAGGTGGAGCAGGTAACCTCATCTCTGCTCACCTGTAAGGACCCTCTCCATCAGTCATGAGAAGGGAGTCTTCAGCTATGGGAAGTCACACTGAACTAGGCTGTGGTGGAGACTGCCCAGGAAGGAGTTGGTTGTGACTTTGCCTGCAGTTGCTCATCTTCCTCCTCTCCTGTGTTGGCCACTGCTGAGGACAGAAAGATCCGGCCACCTACCTAGCCTTCCAGAGTCCTAGGTGCTGCTCTCTCTGACTTCAGATTTAGGTCTAGCTCTCTCCTCCTGGCCTGGGGTCAACTTTTGGGTCCCAAAGCCCAAGGTAGGGCATGGCTCTTCGATGCTCCCCCCAGGCCTCTCTGTCTCTCATGGCCCTTTGCTCAGGCTTCGCTGTTCCCCAATTCCCTTCAGCTCCTGGGCAATGCACTCACAACTTCTGGAGCCCTTCATGTCCTGGGCTCTCCATAAGGTAAAGAAATAAGCCCTGGACACACACCGGTACAGTTTGGAACACCAGTCTCTTTACACACTCACGCACACACAGACACACACACACATTGCCATCGGAGAACACGCTGCACCAGTCTACCTGAAGCCTCCTCACTCAGCAAGACAATCAGGAATCCTAGAGCTCTTAAGCTATGATTTCAGCATCAACTGGACCTGGTGTCCACCTAGGCTAAAGATGCCCTACCCTTGCCCAAGGTCAGTCCCATTTAATGAAAATATTTTGACCAGTGCTTACTCATGTCTTCATCAACTCCCTGTGTTCAGAGTGCTTTTTTGCGCAACTCCAGAGGGTGTCATTCCTATTTTGCTTCTCAGGGTGCACCTGGGATGCCATCTAGAACTATTCCAGCCAGAGAACCTAGGGTTGTCTGCTTGAGCCTCTCCTAGATCTTCTGCTTTGGTCACCAACAGCCCAGCTACTCCACCCTAAGCTTTCCTAGCCACTTTGGTCCACTGGCCAGGACTCAAATGGCCCTTTATGGATTGACCCACAACTCCCAGTACTATCCCAGCTACAAAAGGTAGCTCTGAGCCCTGTGACTAGAGAGATGCAGCACATTTTCTGGCTTTGATCTTAAGCCCTCTGATGCTCCGCCGGCCTTACCAGCCAGCAGTGAGCAATGTCTTAAAGGCTCTCCCCTCCTGGCTTGGCCAATGTCCTGGTGGGTATCCATGGGGCTGAGGATATTTGGAACAAGGACAGTGGTTGAAGGCAACATTGGATGGGGCTGGAGGAGTGTTCTGATACTAAAGGTAACCCTCCCAAGCTACTGCTTTCCTCCAGGAAGTCTCACACACAGAAAATGCTGGCAACACTCAAATCTCAACCTTAATGGTATTTAGAAGAGAGAGGCAGGAAATTGGTTTCAGATGAGGATGTAGGAAGTAGGATTCAGAGATGCCCTGGTCTTTAGGAAGCAAGAGGTAGGAGGATCCTCAGCTATGCCAAGGAGAGGAATCCACAGCCCTGGATGGCTAGAGGATTGGAGAACAGAAAGATTTGAGGATGTGGATCTCTGCACTGCTTTTTAAAACTGGTGAGCTAGAGGTGGAAAGTAAGGAAGCCCCCAGGACCCAGGCCGAAGATGACAAGTACCTGCCTTAAGCTTTTAAGTAGGAGAGGGTGATGGATAGAGTGGAAGATATTAGTAAGGGAAACATATTTGAGGAGGACATTAGGATGCCATTGTATGGACTGTAGTCCTGAAAAGAGAGGTCTTTGGGGTAGTATTATACATAGAAGTTTGTATACACCCCAAACTTCAGTCCTGACTACTTGTCCCATATCTTTTCTGAATCTTGATCCTTGATTCTAACCCTGGCACTCCAGGGACTCTTGATGCTTCTTAGAATCCTAGAATCTCAGTCATTTTCAGCAGAAATCCTAATCTATTTCACCTCTTGCGCATGCTTTATCTCAATATTTAGTTAAGCTGTGCCTTTTGATTTTGATTTTGGTTTTACCTGGCCTCGCCTCTAGCTCTGGGAGGGTTTTCCAGAATCCCTGAGGTGAGGGCTGACATAGGACAACTTCCCAGGCGCCCGCAGGCTCCCAACCTGTTTCCAGCCCCAGCCCCACAGTGATGTCTGAGCCCAGTGCCTAGTCATCAGCCCACATGGGACCCACTGTTAATGCCAGAGCCCCAACTAAGCTGCTCACTCTGGTGCTGTTTCCCTGTTGTGTCTCCCACCACCTTCCCTGCTACACCTGCCCCTCCCTGCCCCGCCCCGGAGTCATGCCCTCTAGCCCCCCGCTGGCCGCTGCCTCCTCCATGTCCCTCCCGGCCGCTGCCCCTACCACCAGCGTCTTCTCCTTCTCGCCTGTCAACATGATCTCCGCTGTCAAACAGAGAAGCGCCTTTGCCCCAGTGCTGCGTCCACCTGGCTCCCCGCCCCCGGCTTGCCCCAGAGTCCATGGAGAGGGACTTCCAGGTGAGTGACCCATACTGCTCCACTGATGACCAGAGGAAAGAACTCTAAGGATCATCTGGGCTTGGGGAAGAATGCTCTTGCTGGTTGACCAGTTCTCCCTGAAGGCCTTTGAGGGAGTTAAGTAGGGAGTTCTAGGGGTTCAAGGGAGATCCATCCGGATACCACTCTTGGGACTTCCCAGCTTGCGGTGGTCACCACTCTGGATGGGATGCTATTAACTGACAACTTTGCCAAGGGAGACTTGGGTCTGTACCTCCTAAGAGGCCTGGACGGCACCTCTCATTGTTCTATCTGCCATGCTGGCCCCAAGTCAGGGTTAGGGGTGGCTTACTCCATGTGAGGATCCTCATGGCATTGCTCTAAGAAAGTGTCATATGTCTTCCCTGCTGGCCCCATCCCAGAGAGGCACAAGCAGGTAAGGCCGCCAGGTTGCACGTGCTTATGGCTCCTCTCTCCTTGGATACCACAGACCAGCCTTTTGAGGATTCTGACAAGTTCCACACCTCAGCCCGGGGACTTCAGGGCCTGGCATACTCCTAATCATGGTAGGCCTCTGGCTGAGTCTTGTCACCTCCGTTGGCCCTGGGGAGTGTTCTCTATCCAAAAGACCTTAGCAGGGATGGAAGTTGGGGTCCAGTTTCACTCTCCAGGACCCATCCAGACAACTGTCTGAGCCAAAAAGCCCATCATGGTAGCCCAAGCTGAACAGGTGGGGTGAAATGGCTTCCAGTTCCCTGTGTGGTCAGCCTTCCTCCAGGGCCTCTTCTTCCTCTCCCAGCAGGTCTACAGGTGTTGCCTCCACTGAGCCTGGACTGGAGGTCTTGGTGGGCCAGGATTTACACCCATGTCCTGGATGGCAGCACAGACAGATGCAGGGCTACAGCTGCAAGCTGACCTCAAGTCCTGGCCCTGAACTGGAGAGGCCTTCCTCCCCATGTCCAAGGTCCCCCAGCCCCACAGGCTTCTCTCACCTCCCTGTCTCTGGGCTGGTTGGAAGCCCCAGCACTGTGTTGATGCTCTCTGCAGGAGAGCATCCTGGAGGAGGGACTGGGATGTTGGGCTTCACTCCTCTGGTTGGTTCCTCTGGAAGAGATGGAACTCATACAGACCAGGGCCATTGGGTAAGGGGAGCATGGGATGGAGCAGCTCAGGGAGAGATCGCCTAGGAAGGTCCTGTTTGCATCTGACCCATCTCAACAGCCCAGCATCCCAACTCTTTCCATGGCATAGGGTGGTGCCCAGAAACCTCCGGAGGCCTACCCAGGCTCCTATGGAGCTTCCCAAGGCCACGTGACAATGTGGCTACTCCCACTCCTTGAGTCCTGCCCATTCATGCTTGCCACATCATGAATCCCAGTGGGGGCTTTGAGCTTGGAGGGTGCAGAAGAAGGAGTATCAGGTCCCCCAAATTTTGGGTCTTTATTCACCAGTGGATGTCTCGTGGACTCTGGCCCCCACACACACTGACTCGTTTGGATGGAACAGGTCAAGTTGATCCCCAGGTGGCCTCATGCTCTGCTTTTCAGAGTTTGGAGAAATCAGAACAATAAACAGATGCAGGTGGTCATTCGGTTTCTCTTGCTTGTCTCCTTCTGTGTCTCTCAAAGGTTTTGGAGCTCTTAAGGGGCCCCTCTAAACCATGCCTACTGAGCAGACTTTTTGTACCTTTAACTGAATAACTATACTCTGTCTGCCCTGTGTCTGTTCTGGGGTACTATGGGAGCAGGGTGGGGTAGGTCCTAGGCCTAAGGACCCAGAAGCCAGGGTTAGCCCTGAAGCTTTGGGTCCCTGGAAGCACAAGTTGGCTACTGAGGAGGCTCCAATAGCCCAATTGTTTGGCCAGGGCCAAGGTGGGAGCTGTCAGAAGGGCATTTCTGGAAACCAGACAGAGTACTAAACACACTACCTAGAGGTACAGAGGCCCAGAAGTGAGACTGTGTCCCAAATGTAGGCTACTGAGCTTCAGCTGACAGCTTTATGCATTTAACCACCAGCTGCTCTGAGGGAGAAAGATGAGGTTTTCTGCTCCCATAAAGATTTACAGCCTTGGAAACCCCATACAGGGTCACTATGAGTCAGAACCAACTCCATGGTAGTATCTGAGCTGGGTCCCAACCACCCTATTCACCTCAGGTGACCTTCTGGCTGAGTCACCCCGGAGTATGGAAAGAGGAGTGGTGAAGAGGCAAGATTCTAGGCCATTCACTCCCTTTAATGAGTCCCATTCACTCCCTGAGACATGCCACCTGGACCCCAAACGTCTGACTGGCCCCAGAAACCAGTTGTTTGGCCCACTGTACAGGGAGTCAGTGTCCAGCCGCCTCTTCCTCCTGATATCACAGCCTGGCTCTGGCCTTTGAAAACCCATCCTTCACCGAGCCAGGTGTCTGTGCCCTGAAACCCTCTGGACCAACACACCTGTCAAGTCAGAAACTTCCAGATCCTTTCTTGTGTGCTTAACCAGTACCAGGGGCTCACCTGGCACCCATGACAGGGTGTTTTTATCTCAGTTATCTAGAGAAGGAAAGCTAGTGAGCTGTGTACGGAAATACTTCAAGAAAATGGTTCATGTAGTTGTGGAGGCTGGCAAAGTCCAATCCATGTGTTAAGCAGCAAGCTGGAGAGCTGCTGGCTCATATGGTTTCAGGGGTTGGTGAATCCAAAACCTACAGGTCTAATG